GAGTCCCCAAAAATCTTTCCTCACCTTTCTTGTTATAAATCTCATCCTTTTAATAAGAGGATTAAACAGATACGATTATTGGATTTAGGTACAATTTCCCTAAAATGCTAATTTAATTTTTCCGGACCGTTCCAATACACAAACAGTTTTCGCTCTGTGACCACAAATTGTGGTTAAAACAGAGTAGCTGTCACCACACCAATCAGAGCCTCAATGTATAATTTGACATGTCGGCGTGTTTCAAAGGGATTATTTATTTATGAGTCCTAAAACAACATCTATGCTTTACATACAAGAAAATATGTCTTCACAAATTTTACACAAACGTACACGTCAATTATATTAGAACATACAAATTTCAAACTAGCAAAGAAAAAATTAAACATGCAACCAAAAGATAAAAAATAACTACAACTAAATAGAAACTTAAACCTCATTAAGAGTGCGATACACAAAATTACTGTAAGTAGGAAGATTGTTGTAAAATATATCAATGTTTTTATTAATGGTTAGTAATTAAGTTGTAAGAGCGAGATAGTCTATTATTAATACCAACTAATATATTATTAAATTAAAAGGGGACTCCTTTTAATAAAAGGGAAGGTTCCGAAGATACTGGCAGCGTTCCCGCTTTCAATAGCTAGACTAATTCTTTGTCCGAGGTTGCTGCCAGCTCTTCGGCCTCCTGTGAGGTCCACTAACCTTTTTACTGTTTAATTATAAAGTCTTATAGCACTGGGATCCCACGGACCAAGGTTCTCGACACCAAATGGGACAAAATCATATTCGGAGCCTAACCCCTGTATTTGCATGCTTTTTTATAATTAAATTATGTTTTCATTTAGTTGGCTTAATCTTAAAAAATCAATATAAAATTATTTTATATATTCGTATCGTCTTCATTATTAGCCATTTTCCAATTATATTTCTGGATGAGCCTCCATCCTCTATCACTCCAAATTCGTGATTCAATAAAGTAGGTTTCTTGTCCAATAGGGTTTATCTATGCGCACAATATATACTTATTATGAAGTACTAAAGTTATACTACAATATTAAAATTTATATTTATTACACTTTTTACTTAATACACTTTACATATGTCTGTCGTGGCCCGATGGTAAAATTAGCCCCTTCATAAAATAGCCACATATTAGTTTAATGATAATTCAATCAATATTTGGCCATATCATCAATGTAGCGGCTTCTTCGCCTTTGTAAGTTACACAAGATTAAGTTCAGTAAATTCAACAAGTTGTTTCGAATTTCATTAGGGAGCTTCCGCAGTTGCGTTTTCGGTTTCTGGAATACAGCAGTTGTTCTTCCAATATGTTGATGTCTTAGCAAAAGGAAGGAATGTTAAAAAAAAGTTCTTAATCTGAATGACGTTAAAATTAAACTTGTAACTATGTGCAGTTAAGTAAAAATCATTCAAAAACTTGTTTGGTTAAGATGCACAGTGCACACATTAGTATCTTGAAAACAATTGTTGATTGCCGGAAATCGGACCCAGTTTGAACCCAGAAAGGTTACGTAACTGATGAATGAGATTAAATTAAGATGATGTATGTAATGAGATTACATTAAAATAGCACATTGGATATCTAAGACTAATTATTATTGACATCTTTTTAAATTTAAGGTATATAAGCATAATTTTAATTGCCTCATATAATGCTGATTTCATTTCAGTTTTATGATTTACTAAAAAAATATGAATTTAATATGTTTTCATTTTCTGAATACATCATTTAAAAGCCGAAGCCTGATCAATGCTCTGAATGAGACTACTCAATGAATATGTATGCTATCTGATTTACAAGTTAACATACTGGTTACATTAACAGTGCACGCGATTTTCTCCACTACTTTAAAGTAATAAGCGTGAATTTAGTATAACAGAGAGTTAATTAAGCAATGCCGATTGTTGTTAAGGTATTCAAGCGTGCAGCTTTTGTAAATGAACGGTAAAGCTTTGTTTACTTACTACTTGAATTTTTTCAGCGTTGAAGAATTTCGCGTCGATTTTTCGTGAAAATTCTCTTTCACACTCTATGCACGCTCAATGGGATATAAATACCTCGAAACGAATTATTCGGTATTTAACAAAGCTAAATCATGCGGTGGCTTTATTTCCGTAATTTATAAATGTGTGTTTTATTCCGGTTTATTTACAATTACATCTAGAATATGTAGTTACGCAAATTATAAAAAGGCGCTTAATATTGTACCCAAAAACCACCAAAAAAATAAAAAAAAAAAAAAAAAAAAAATACAAAAAAAAAAACACAAAAACACCACAACAAACACAAAACCTCCACAAAACACCACCACACCCAAACAAAACAATAACAACCCACACCAACCCCCAACACCAACCAAAAACAAAAACAAAAAAAAAACCAAAAAAAAAAAAAAAAAAAAAAAAAAAAAAAAAAGGAGAACACACACACCACACAAGAAAAACAACAAAAAAAAAAGACAAGAAAAAAATATATATTTTTTTCCTTTAAATTAAGATATAAAACTCAGGGGGGGGAACGAGGGGAAAAAAATTTTAATAAGGGCCACAGTCCTTAACAAAATACAAAAAAAAAAAAAAAAAAACAACAACATAATGGAAAGGGGGAAAACACACACAAACAAAAAAAAAGAATACGCACCCCGCACCCGCCGCGCGCAGCCCCGCCCCGCGCCCCGGGCCCCGGGAGAAGATAAAGCAAAAACCAAACCCAAAAAAAAAAATAAAAAAAGAAATATTAAAAAAAAAATTAAATTTTTGTTATTGTTTGTTATTATTTGGAGTGATATAATATTAATAGAATAATTTGAGTGGTTAAATGAAGGAAAATTTATAAGAAAAATAAAAAGGGAAAGAGAAAAAAAAGGGGGGAGGGGAGTTGCCAAAAAAAAAAGTAAATAAAGGTAGAATTTGTGAAAAAGAGTAAAAAAAAAAGGAGAAAACAAAATAAAGGGGAAAACCAGAAGAGAGAGAAAAAGGAAAAAAAAAAAAAAAAAAAAAAAAAAAAAAACAAAAAAAAAGGAAAAAGGAGTTTTTTTTGGCCAACACTACTACAAACGCAAAAATTTCTCCAAGCTAATTTACCTCAATGAATTCAATCTTCGAGAGAAGAAGAATTTATTGTTCTTGGCTGTTTTTTTTTTTTTCTTTTTCTACATTTAAAAAATTTAGGAATTTAAATGGTCCGTAGTCGTACAATTAATTTAAAGTAAAAATTATACACATTGGCTGCATATATTAGATTGTGTCTATATAGTTGCTGTTAACTATCCAAGTAATATCTATATTATCTTGGAAAGTTTTCAGCAACAGGACCTTACATTTTTTATCTGTATTTTTTTTTGTACTGGTTTTTCTATAAAACCAACTCTATATAGCTAAGCCAAGTGTATCGAGGAATGAAATATTTTATAGTATCATGAACTCGTCTCTTAATACAAGCAGAAAATTCTCCAAGAAATTTTCATATAAATGAAATATTAACTCGTGAAAATCCTAATACGTATTTGTTCTTCAAAGTTCCATGTTCAAGTATCCAAGAAGGAAACTTTTGACGCATTCGTGACTTCATAATGTTTGAGTTTAGGGGGGGGGGGGGGGGGGGGGGGGGGGGGGGGGGGGGGGGGGGGGGGGGGGGGGGGGGGGGGGGGGGGGGGGGGGGGGGGGGGGGGGGGGGGGGGGGGGGGGGGGGGGGGGGGGGGGGGGGGGGGGGGGGGGGGGGGGGGGGGGGGGGGGGGGGGGGGGGGGAAAAAAAAAAAAAAAAAAAAAAAAAAAAAAAAAAAAAAAAAAAAAAAAAAAAAAAAAAAAAAAAAAAAAAAAAAAAAAAAAAAAAAAAAAATTAAAAAACAACCCCCCTTTTTTCCCCCTCCCCCCACCGGGGGGGGGGGGGGGGGAAAAAAAACCCCCCCCCCAAAAAAAAAAAAAGAAAAAAAAAAAAAAAAAAAAAAAAAAAAAAAAAAAAAAGGGGGGGGGGGGGGGGCCCCCCCCCCCCCCCAAACCCACCAGAAAAAAAAAAAAAAAAACCCCCCCCCCCCCCCGCCCCCCCCCCCCCCCCCCCCGGGCCTCTCCCCCCCCCCCCCCGGGGGGCCCGCGGGCCCGCCCGCCCCCCCGGGGGGGGGGGGGGGGGGGGAAAAAAAAAAAAAATACCCGGGCGGCGGGTTTAAAAACGCGCGCCAAGTTTTTGCCCTCTGAACATAGCCTTAAACTTTAAGTCTGTCTTGATTCTGAGTATCGACACTTCTTAATTTCTTTAATTTATACAAGAGGAAAAGTTTTCAAAAGACATAATTATTTAAAATAATGTTGTAATGGTAACATGGGACTGTAGAAAGAGAGATAACTTCGTTGGTGATGTTACATACATTTCTGCATTTATTAATTATTTGTTTGTATAGGCTAGTATAATTACTACCTTCTGTGTCTAATGCATATTTTTTAAGTCTAAGACATGTTGGTGTAGCCCTACCTCGTACAAGCAAGTGTTGATACGGAAAAGTCTACGAGTATAAGACTTCACACGAATACACGCTTTATCTGACCTGATTTCAGCTTGTGGACAGAAAAACTGTGTCCAGTTTGTGTTTCCTCCACACCAACTTCTTTCTATTTAAGATCATGTATATAATAAATAAATAATCATTATGGCTCTACTTATGTATACTTTTATACTAATATTATAAAGGGGAAAGATTTGTATGTATGTAAGTATGTTTGTAACAAATTGGCTCTAAGTACTGGACCGATTTTAAAAATTCTTTCACGCTACAATGCTACATTATCACTGATTAATATATGCTATTTTAATTGCAAGAAAAAAATAAGGATCCCTACTAAAAATACAATAATGTTACCCAAGGTCTAAAAAAGGGCCTATAAAATATCTTTGCGCTGCGAAAACTATTGATGATGGAAAAAAAAAATGTTCCACGATATATCTGCAAAAACTGTCATACACACTTAACGTAATTACTTTACAGGCGATGATAGGAACGAATGAAACGACCGTAGAATATGAAGACGCTGACGACCCGGATGCAGTCACTCTCCTATCGATACTACTAGTCGGTAAGTCATATCTACTAAATCGGATTTTTTCATAGGATAAGAACAATTTGACAAGTCAGCTTGCCAAGGCTCTTCAGGCGCCCATTGGAGGCTCGTTCGTTCCATTGATAAATAAACGTGTTTGATTTTTTATAGGATAGGCTAAACGCGTAAGGCTCAACTAATGTAAAGTAATATCCCCCATGACACATACAAAATCCGATCAAAGTTTATAATATAATATCCGCGTGTTTGTATTAAAGTAAATTATTTCTTTTCACTCTGATAGCTGTAGTATTTTAGTTTGTTTTTACAGAAATCTTTCTTAATAAACAATAATTTTTAAGCGATGTAAGAATATCTATGTCAATAAATATATGAGAGGTAGGATAGCGTAAAGGGATTTGTAGTAGTATACTTGTATGTTTTGCTAGCAAACTGTTTAAAAACAAACGAAACAAAAAAACGTAGAACAATTGACATCCTAAAAACAATGAAATGGGCAAAATAAGAAACGTTTAATACTAAAAATTATTGAATTTAATTAATAATTATTTAATTGTTATACGTAACTAAATACAACCCTTGTGAATCCTTTGGAATATTTGAGTATTATTGACAAACAATAGTGTTGATTATACCAACTTAACACCGCTTGGAAGTATTAAAATAGAATAGCAAGTGTAATTAATATTTGGTCTAGATTAAGCTTATAAACCTTGGGAATTAATACAAACAATATTGTTATCTAATATCATAAGGATATATACTACTAAAGTTTCGTTTTCATAAACCCAGCATAAAACGTACCATTTACAGCACCTATATACTATTCCCTCTGATATTTTATTGTGGGTTAATGGCCTATTAGTATGGAATAGTTGAAATGGTTGGTTTTATATTCATTTAGAGCGAGTATGACTCTTACTAAACATAGTAGGTATATGGCTCTGATTTGTCTATTAATAGTGAACCAGATGAAAAAAGTCCTTAAGATGCTTCTGTTATATGACCAAGTGATATATTACTATATGTGTAAAATTAATCTGTTTTGACGTTCATAAGTGTACATTGAGTTACCTATATGAATAAATGATTTTTGACTTTGACTTTGAATATAGTGTAATTGTGATAGTACCAGATGTTTTTTTTACAAATAATAGTAGGTGATTAAAAGTTCAGTAAAAAGAGATGTTCAACTTTAATTTATAATAAAATTTGTAAGTTGATTTTGGCCATAGGACCACCTCTGTGTTGTTGCCGTATAACCTGAGAGTACCGGGTTAAATTTTCAGAGAAACAATTGTTTAGGGTTGGTGACAAAACATTCAATGAAATCACAATAATAGTAGCATTAGTTTATGCAGTAACTTAGTCACTTATGAACTTCAGTAAAAAAACAATGCTTCTAATATTTACTGCTATTTCTCGATATAGGCGTAGAACGCAAGAGAAGAACTGGCAATAAACTCTCCGTCACTCTTTTAAATCGCCGGAGTTTTTATAAGTTCCTGCAACTAAGTATTACATCATGGTCTTCATCAGATTTTAAAGCAGTTCCATTAATTAATTAATAAGAAAACCAAACATTTTTACCTCTAATAGCAAGGCACGGTAAAATAATCTAGTTTTTAATCTGCCCAAAAATAATTGTTTATCTATTTCTTAACAATTATTCTTATTTTCAATTTTATTTTATTAAAACTTCATTACATACGAGTACACTGCTAACTTTTACTAATATATATTAATTTTTGCTACTGAGTATTATTATTATTATTACATTCTTTTTCTTTTTTTGCGACTTAGGCGCAAACTAGATGTGGTCTCTGGCAGAATGATCAGCGCTGTGGAACAGTCTGCTCCTCAACAAATGCTGAGCCAGGGCCAATTACAACCTCAACACACACGCATTACCCACTAAAAATTTACCTTGTTCTTTAAATTAAAAAAAAATCTTTCATTCAATTTTTTTTAAATATTGTTATTTTGTTAGTAATAAATGTTATCTCTATGTCTAAATAGAAGACATGCACAAAATAATCTTCTAAGTATGCCTAATAGTTGATTATTAGGGTAATTATTAAATAATTAACACATAGCTTGTTCAGCATCCGAGATTAGCCTAGTTGATGACCTTATTTCACTGTAACACAAAGTGCATCAATTGATGGGAGGTCGATCTAAGTGCCCTATACCGTGCCATACTAAGTGCCAATAGTGGTAATATAATATTTCTTCCCTCTTGACAATTAACATCAAAGATATATTCCTCCTAATACAAAGAAATCAGTTCAATTAGAGTCCTAACTAAAATACTCTTTCGTTTCTCAAATAGCGTTTTCGCTGTGTTGATAGACGAGTGATATGTTCTTTTAAAATTAACTTTAAACCTCTCTTTAAGAATTGAAATAACATATTATGTTATATATTAAGGATCATGTTCATGAGTACTTTAAATACGCCTTTCGATCAAAGCCTGAACTATTTTTCATTATTAGAATAAATTCGTCACTGCTGTACACACAAATATAAAGTAATGTATGCGTATGCATGAATTCGGCTTAAAACTATTTTCGCTCTTTATTTGTTCTAGGTATATTTCTATCTCTCCTCATATTTGTGAGTGCGGCGGGTAATATTCTTGTCTGCATCGCGATATACACCGATCGGGGATTGAGAAGAATTGGGAACTTATTTCTTGCCTCGTTGGCAATCGCTGATATGTTGGTAGCCGCTGCTGTTATGACATTCGCCGGTGTTAACGACTTGCTTGGGTATGTAAATATAATAAAATAAAAACATATTTAATATTTTTAAGTTCATATTTTTAAAACTTATTGAGCTTCTAGATCTTAACTTGCGTTTGTTACATTTATTTAACAAAAAAATATTTAAAATTACTGACTGCCTTTGTTGTATATACAACTGTTTATGACTATTATATCATTACTTTTGATTGCGTTTATTAAAACAAATAAGTATATAGATTAATATTAACTACCGACACTACAAAGAATATTAATTATACATTAAAGAGTAAATGAATAAAGATCAAATGATAATTGATTAAATGATATGTAATGATAGCGTAGGCATCGTCAAGAGGCAATATATTTAGTCTCGATATAATGCAATTATTTTCGCCCTCTCGTTCCCGAAATATCATTACGAATTCCGTGGTCCCGGGAATTTATTCGCAAGACCTATTTCATACTTGTCTACGTTAATATTATTATAAACAATATTTTTATTATGAATTAATATTTTTGTCGTGCTACGCTTTCGTAGAGTAAATTAGCCTATATTGTTTTGTCTTAATAATGTATTAAATGTTTGTCAAAACCCATAAGCGGTTGAAACATAGGAGATACACATAATATTAAGGAATACTACTTATAAAATATGACACATGTGCAAAATGAGATACGTCAAACAGCAAGTTTAAAAATGGAACTAAACTCTAAAGAATCTTACCTGAGCCCTGCGATTCTGTAACTCACTTTTCGAACTCACACAGCGGTTTTCGCATCGGCGGTCGCTCTCAAATCAGTCGTGAAGCAGTCATTTTATGATTTGGCATTTTGAAAAGGTGGGAGCTTGTAGTTTATTGTTTATCAGAATACCAAATCATAAAATGATTGTTTCACGACTGATTTGAGAGCGACCGCCGATGCGAAAACCGCTGTCTGTGTGAGTTCGAAAAGTGAGTTACAGAATCGCAGGGCTGGTATGATTTATTTGTTATAAATATTTATTTGTAGGTACTGGGTATTTGGCGAACAATTCTGTGATACGTGGGTGGCGTGTGACGTCATGTGCTCCACTGCGTCCATACTTAACCTCTGCGCCATATCACTTGATAGATATATTCATATTAAGGACCCTTTGAGGTATGTAATAGATAAGAATTCAAATGTTCATCAAGTTTTAACTTGGACCTAAAATATTTTAGATATTTCTATCTCCTTTACCTATTTTCGAACAAAAATCTAAGAAATATTATTTCACAGTCGTACAATTGTTCGGGCATTCAATGTTTGTTTATTTTCTATTAAATCATGCAATTGAACTATATATAGAATATTAATTTCTTTAATACATGTTTGGTAAAATACCTAACATCTTTTCAAACTATTAAAATAGGTTCAGTACTTACCCCAAAACCTTAAAAAACACCCTTACAAATTCTATTGAAAACATTTATTATTTATTTAATATAAAATAAATGACTCTCCTTACAATTTTCAAATATCGAGCAGATGTCGATTCTTAATTAAAGTTGCCTTCACAGGTGTAGAAGATTTATAGTTTCTGAACGACATCTGAAAGGTTCTTATTTATTAAAGTAGAAGTACGATCAATTCCAATGCAGAATCTTTATTAAATATGACTAGGTAATATAAATGAAACTATATAATAATTAAAGTATATAAAGCCGCATCCTAAAGTGGTCCCCAGCATATCTTAAATAATTATAAGTAGTTTCGCATTTTCTGTGATAATTCAGTAATCATTTACGCATGATGTGTGCAAGCTGTATAAAAAATTTCATCAACATATTAAAGTAATGACATATCGTATATCAAACATATTAAAAAGGGATTTTAATATTTTTCAATATCAAAGACGTGTAAACCGTGTTTTAGATACGGCCGTTGGGTAACGCGTAAAGTGGCAATCATTACCATAATTCTAATATGGTTGCTAGCCGTGATGGTCAGTTTTCTACCCATATCCTTGGGATTGCATAGACCGCCTGATGAGACTGTGACGACAACTGAAAGCCCCCCGCAATACCCCACGTGTGCCCTGGTTTTAACACCCACCTACGCTGTGGTGTCAAGCTGTATATCTTTTATCCTGCCGTGCATCGTGATGATCAGTATATACTGCAGGTGAGATCATTTTATGTTCAATCTGAAAAGCTAATGTCAAGTGTCAAATCTTTGGGTGATCGTAAATTTAAAGGTAGACAGATAAAATAAAAACCTGCTCTCATGGCGAGAAATTATCTATGATTATAGCAACACTGAGTATATATACAAATTGGCGTGATTGGCAATTATCCAAAAAAAAACCACCCCAAAAAATTTGAAACCAAAAAAAATTCTATAAATAGTTTAATAGTTTATTTCTTTAGACTTTCTTGCAAACAAATACTTTGTTATATTATAAATAAGTCTAATTAACTGGCTTTTAATAGTTTTCAAAATTTAATTGCACTCATGAGGCACAATATCCAAGAATGAAACTGATGTAAATGATGTCATTTGTCAGCCAACAGATGACGACAATGACAAAAAATCAACATGTCAAAGATTGTTGCCATTTCTAATAGTTTTCGCAATATGGCGAGGTTTATTTTTATTTTCTTGGTAGCTAAACATGATAACTGCCCCAATATTTTTAACAGTTTCAACTTAAATTGATTTGACATTTACATTAACATTAGTGTCAGTTGAACACCAACACTCCTTCCAAAAACTGCACGTTAGACATAAATTCTGTTATTACCGAATTAATCGAAGCTAGTTAGCGTAATGTTAGAACGTGCAATTTTAGAGTTTTTTTTACTAATAAAACATTTGTATATTGCAAAGCTCTGTTAATAATTATTAACGTGGTTGTACAATAATTGATATTAAGCATATTGCGTTCATAAATTAAAAAAAGCCTTTTTATTTCTTGCAAAAGAACAAAGTAAACTTAATACTATTATTAATACTATTATTAATTAATTAATTATATGACGTTCATATAAATATACGTTCATTACTAATTAATAATTAATGAGTTAAATATTTATAGATATTGATATGTTATGTATGGATTTAAATATTCTAACCGTTTCAGATTATACTGCTACGCCCAAAAGCACGTGAAATCAATCCGAGCGGTTACTCGGACGGTCCAGCTACCGGATAACCGGACAAAGTCCGTCCGCACCCGGGTACATACACACGTACATTCTTCCCCATATCACGTGTCAGATCATAAGGCAGCCATCACTGTTGGTATCATTATGGGAGTTTTTCTACTTTGCTGGGTCCCCTTCTTCTGTGTTAATATCGTTGCTGCGTTCTGCAAGACATGCATACCAGGTAATTACTATCTTTCTGTACTAATATAATAAAATGGAATTTGTTTCCTTGTATATTTGTAACGAATATACTCAAAAGCTATTATACCACTTTCTTTGGTAAATCTAAGAAGGCAATATATGCCTTCTGAGCCTAGAAGACTTAAAGCAGAGTTTAGTTCTCATAGGAAAAAAATATTAATGCCTTAAGGATAAAGTTATTACCGTGCGAAATCGTATTATCTAGTAATAGTAGTATTATCTATAATAAAATTTAAATTCGTTCTACAAAATCTAAATGTTACTTTAAATTGTTTCTTGCATTAGACGAAATAATTGTATTGCACTAATTGTAATAGTTAAGACTGCCAAAAATCTGAATCTTAGTAAATAACTTGAAATCAAGAGTTAAATTGTTTACTAAAATATCTAAAGTAGGTTGGTTCTATAGATATATATTAGCTTCCAAAAACATTTATATGTATACAAAGGCTACCAAACCATATAAAGAACATTATTAACTGAAAAAATAGGCTTATATTTCCAGAATTCTGTTCACAAAATTGTGTTGTTGCTCCTAAGGTTGCAAGTGACATTATATTTTCCTGTACCAGGTGATTAATGACGGGGCAGACAGGCGGAGATATTAATTTTTAAGTTTTACGACACGTTTTCTATTTAACATGACATTATGAAAAAATATATTCCTAAACTTATTTGTACGTTATGAAACATTGTAATATTCTAATTAATAACTTATTGAAGTGAAACTTCTTTATCGAGGTTGGAAAAAAATTTAGTGTAACATTTTTTCGTTACGCGTCACATTTTTCGGTTACGCGTCACATTTTTCGGTTACGCGCCATGTTTTTGAAGTCAAACTTCATTATCGGCGTTGGAATGAAACTTCTTTATCGTCGTATGGGAGAAATTTTGTAGCAAATCGTCACGTTTTTCAATGATAGTAATAATTCTATTACAATTAATGAAATTCTATAATAATCTTCGTAGTAATGGTAAAATGAAATATTTGTATTCATGTCTATGATAATAAAAGCCTTTTGTTAAACTTTATCTAATTTAACGAATTTCTTAAAGTTGATATATAATCATTTTTCAAAAACAAATATAAAAAGTTTCACTTTTAGTGTAACTAGTAAGACAATTTTATATAAGAACCTTTCAATAGTCAGTATACGTATTGGGTACATGTATTTAGGTGATTTTACAGTGATATTTAATAGTTCTGTCTCAAAATCAAGTCGCTGACTAAAAAAGCACTACAATGTCGAGTAATATAAATAGTGTTGATTGATGCAAAGTTATCACTTACGCATACAATCTTTACCAGATTGAGAAAAATAATGGAGAAGGCATATTGCGTTCTAATTACGTGATCGGTATTTAGGTCAAGCACACAAATACCATTAGCATTAGTACCTGAGTTTCCTAAATTCGGAAATATTTGATCCATCTACCCAAACTTTTTGATTGTACAATTGGACCTTTGAGGTTGTTGGGACTCCTAATGCCTTTTGAAAGGGTTGTTTGGGTAAATTTTCTTATTTCTAAATGGAGAAAGTTGGCATCTAAAAACGGCAGTTGTTGGATTTGCTCTTAGACTTCATTTATATTTTAGAGTATTGTCGGATAGATTAAAAAGTTAATGGGACCAATTTAAAATTGAATGATTTATAAGTAGCTCTTATAGTTAGTGTTCACGTTGGAGCATCGATATTCTTAGAGGTGACGCAAAAATATTCAACCAGTTTTCTACATTACCTATATGTTTAAGGTCTGAGCTAAATAATCAGACTAAAAGTATTACTAAGTACGGTTTTATTATTCATTGTCAATTGTCAACCATGAACCCGTACTTATTACACTGATATTTACAGAGTTAAAAATAATTCCTAAAACAAAGAGTACGTCAGTTCCATTAGCTGAAATATTTTTTACCTTATTTGTTACAGATCTTGCTTTTAAAATCCTAACGTGGCTCGGTTACTCTAACTCAGCATTCAACCCAATCATCTACTCAATATTCAACACAGAATTCCGGGAGGCCTTTAAAAAGATCCTAACCTCAAGATATCCGCCATGTTGTGGCTATCAAACGGTTCGCGCCAACACACCTACGAGAAATGACAACTTCGTCACAGACTATGGAACTAAGACACTCGTCGTAAGACGCAGTGGTTCTCTAGGACTTTCTGGGGTTGACCCAACACCTAGATCTTCTGCGGAGTCAGTCAAGCCCCTACGAGAATACCACATTTGACAAGAAGATGGGAGTAGTAATAATGGGCTACTCGATAAAAGTGATGTAGTATAATTTCACAGATAACGAAAAACCGGTTACTGACCGTACCGTAAATTTTTAATCTAATCTATCTTTTAAATAGCATAGTATGAATAATGCTAAGAGAAGGTATTATAAAGTATCTGTATATAGATGAATACTAGCTTCTATTAAATCAAATAAATTGTGTTTATATTGTGTGTGAGATGTGTTGTTACTATATTAAATTTTTATCTACCATTACCTACCAAAGGCTATTAAGTATACTTAAAATATCCCTATTCATTATTATTAGTATTTAAAATTTCCTGTGATACTTTTGTAAATAAATTTTAGTCTTTATAAATTGTATTAATAATTTATTAAATTTACATTGAGCATAACTATGAATGCGAAATAATTTCTAATTTTCGGTCACTAACAAAACTTACTTAAAAAAGTTTGTTGGTCGCGTCTTCCCGCTTAAAATCTGAGGTATAATTTTCATATAATTAGTAATTCTAATAAACATTTCAACGGACTATATTTTGTCAAACTTATAGTTAACACGATCAATTCCATATACGTGTTTGTAATGAAATAATATATTCATAATTATTTAATCCACAGATAACTAGACTGTCCCATAGATGTCACATATATTGTCAATTCCACAGATTACAACAACATTCTTTAAATTATTATAGAACACATTGTTTACAGTTTATGCTTGGACGATATACAAATGAGTTTGTATATCGTCCAAGCATTGTGTACTAAACCATTATTAACCATTAGTAACCAACTAGTAAAGAATATTTAATGTTGTGATAACAGTACTAATTGATACAAATTAACCTAAATTTGACTTCAGTACGTATTAATGACGATTATTTGACGTTATCCTCTATCTGTCAACATTCAAAAGACATTTTAATGATATGCTATTTTAAACGGGTTATTCGGCGTTTGATTACACTTGTTATATTATTATTATTGAATATATTTTTTTAAGGTAAATATAAGGGCGCATATACTGTCAAATATTTTAATTTTCGTAAAAACAAAATACTGTACGAACCTTTGTAATGGAGTTGGTTAGAAAATATATTTATAACTATTTTACAATATTGAAAAGCTGTCAACTGCTCAACATTTTTTTAATTGTTATTAAGAAATTTGTTGAGATTTCATACCTACTACATATACGATTTCGATTAATTTTGTGTTAGAATTTGATTTGTGATATAGAAACTATTCTTATAAAAATCAGCTGCTGGCAGCGCCTAGTGAATTATAATTAGCTTATATCGAGATTATCGAGTCTCATTAAAAATAATAATTTTATTATACGAATAAGCTCTCTATTTAAGTTTAATTAAGAGCACGAGTTTTACCTCTTAATATATATAAAACCCTGTATAGACGCTGACTCACTAATTGTTTACCATATTTAATAGATAATTAGGACAAATTAGACTGCGTCTTTAAAAAAATATTCAGTTAAAAATAACCATTAAATGATAAATTATTATTAATTTGTTTAACAGACAGAATTATTCTTAGTATACATACATATACCATTTATCCCGAACCATGCTCGGACCTTTTGGCGATATAATTGTTCTTCTAGCTTGCTTGTTTCAGGTTTTAAAATGTGCAGAAATATTCGTTAACAACTTTAATATCGTCGAAAGTATATCTAAGTAAATATCCTGTTCTATTTCTCACCCGATAACGTTAACACTCATGATAGGCAATAAGAACTAAAAGTGTATTTGGTATACTTTAGCATAATAAGTGCAATATTAATTATATAATTAATTATTTATAGATATAATAAAGGGGGAAAAGCGCTAAGAATATTATAATTTGTGTATAAAATGTACTATACTTATTTTAAGAACAAATCAATGTAATCGTTTTTTCTGTTATTAATTGTATCGTTGCATAATATTTATTAACGTATAAATGACGATGAATTTGCTTTCCAATTACAAATTTTATATTGTGTTCGCCTGTCAGATGTCACGATGTCATTGTCAAATCGTTTATATATTCGAGAAAGTTTTTATTAATATAGATCTTAAGTACCTTACTTCATATATGCCTCAGAAATAAATAAAATTCCCAAACAAGTTTGGCGTTAGTGGGTCACACCCGTCACAAAGTACTTTTGTATTAGGCCCTCACTTCAAATTTTGTTGAAGCATTAATAGGTAATGTTAAGTACCAATGCGCCTAAAAAATATTATGAAACAGGCGCAGAAAATTCTATAAATATATCTGCAAATTTACGATCGTTCCATTTTAAACTCAATATTCGCTTAGTGTTTAAAACACGTGATAAAAAAAAGAATGGGCCGATGGAAATGATAAAAGCTTTCAAAATGTTAAAACGTTGCAGTTGTGCGATGAAAACTATGAATGGCAGGTTACGTGACGAGCATACATTTTCACAGAATTTCTGTCTATTGAAAAATCCATAACTATAAATCATTGTTCTATAATATAATTCTTAAATAAATCATGTATTTGCAAAAAAGTTGTACATTCAAATATATTCATAAAAATCCGCACAATCAGCCATATAAAATAGGCATGTAAATATCATATTATTTATCATAATGCCATATTATTAAGTTAAGCAATTATTTACTTTAATCATCACAATTTTCTTAATCTACATGGTAATAATAAAAATAATTAAATATTAATAAAAATAAAATTTAACTAATTTAAAAACTTTGGCCCCTGTGGCAGTGTGTGTGTTAACGCTGGCAGCATTTCCTCGCTGTATTGCGATACTTATCCGTTGAGTGAGGACTAATACTAGTGACGTTAAATATAAATTGCAACATAAAATTTATAAGCTTGTTTTAGGCAAATAAAAAAATATTATATTCGTTTCATTCTGATTAAAGTAATTCAAGAGTCACTCTAATTCATTCAAAACAATTAAAGTTACCAACAAACTTTATAAAACGATTAAAACTTTAACAACAATATTAAATTTATTTCGCGAGTAAAAATAAATGCTAAAGTGCTTTAATGTGAAGCTAAGTTGATTTAAAAAGTTAGTCTATTGAGTTACGGCAAAGCTGTGCACTTTGTAGCAAGAAACTTTTAAACTCAATTGTAATTTTATTAATGTAGTTTTGTTTTTGCTAAATTAGAACTGAATTTTGCAGACGCTAATTTAGGAGAGAAAAAAGCAGCTTCAGCGTGTGACTCTCTGTGCAACCATACGGTGTAGAAAAACATCGTAAGGGGTATGCCATTGACCCCAAAAAGTTGACGCTATGTGTCAGGCACATACAAATGACCATGAAACAATTTTGAAAATTATATAATAATCAAATCAATTAAGTCTCAATGATTTTCATTGAAACAGCTCAAAACGAGTTGAGATTGCGTCTTCAGATAAGTTTATACACAAAGTTTCTGGAATGCTTATAGCATCGGAATAGCTGAGATCCGTATCCGTAGTCTCTGTATACCCCTTTGGATAAAAGGCAGGATGATATAATTAAAGAAATACATATATAATAATCTACTCAAGAAAACAGCCCTTAACCTACCCTGTAAGCCTCTTGGCGTTGTAGGAATACCTGCCAGCCTAAAAATAAAAAAAAACACATTAGTAACCTCAAAAATAACAATATTTCTCCGCTATTCAATGGATGTTATTATACATATAAACCTTCCTTCTTTAATCACTCTATCTATTAAAAAAACCGCATCAAAATCCATTGCGTAGTTTTAAAGATTCAAGCATAAATAGGGATATAGGGATAGAGAAAGCGACGTTGTTTTCTACTATATAGTGATAAGTAAATAAGCGTCTCCAAGAATTACATTAATACTAGAAAACGCTGCATCGAAAATTCAATATTTTCCGCTTAGTGACAGAGTAAATTAAATTTGATACTCTTTTTGATTAATCACTCGCTTCTTAATCTGGTTTTAACGACTTCTTGTCAACGTTGCTGAATTTAACCACAAGATTAATATAAGCCGGTTTTTAATCAAAGTGATCTGCCCGAAATTACTTCCCATACATTTTTTGGCTTCTTAAATTATAATTCCAGTGATTTTGGCAAAGAGATATTGAATCAGCCATCAAAATATTGAGAAGTAATGTCGAAAATTAACTTCATACAAAACACCGCCTATTTGATCACTAAACTTCTACTTATAACAATGTATTGATAACAGGAATATAAGTTAATAAATAAAGGGTAATGAAAGTATTATAAGCGCGCTACAGTTTTAAATCGTGACGTGATTAACACATTAACCCACTATACATAAAAAATGAATCTAATTGCACCGTTTTCACTGAAGTACCTACTTATCCATCTCTTTTTATCACAGCGTAAAAACAAATTGAAAGAAAGAGATGAAAGAGTAATTTAGTAAGGTGCAATTAAATTAAATTTTTTTATGAATTATCTTCTTAAATCTTTTATCCTCATTTATCTATAGTTATATATACTACATATAGATAAAAATGATTCTTATATTTTTAGAAGAAGTTAAAAATGCTCATTCATCGTCATTTGTCACGTAAAGTTCCATTTACTTAGTCGTTATATTATATTTAGAACGCTGTATGCTATTACTAGTACGTAGTATATTTTAACAAATATTAAGAAAAACTGTGTTAGATGTCTTATGAATCGTGTAAATACTTGAAGATTAACGGCCGTTAGAGTAATGTATCAAAAAGCAATATGTGGTATTTGAACTTCCCTATATGCTATGATGTATGCACATAGTAATAAAACTAATAAAAATCACTATTTCATATTCGATCTCACAATGTTCGAAAGTTTACGCGAACATTTTTCTTTTTGTACATATGTAATAAAAATTCAATAATTCTTTTTTTGAAAATTGTAAATAATTTTCTATAATCTTTGGATTGCGAGCTTTCTATGTTGCAGCAATTCTTGTACTTGAGAATTCTAGTCAATATAAATTATATGAAAATAATT